TTGCCGCTGCCGTCTTCCGACTGCAGGAAGGAGACGTCGCATTTCGGGGACAGCTGCTTCACGGTCTCGTGCATGACGGTGGAGAAACTGCGGGACACGGGGAGGGGAAGGAAGAGACCTGGGTTCATCCTGGCCTGGCTCACAAACCCGCACACCCGTCACCATCGCTGCTTCAACAGCAGCTCAAACGGCTACGGAGGGATCGCAGAGTGGTTTTGGTTGGAAAAGCCTTTTAAGATCATTGAGTCCAACCATCGAACCAGCCCTGAGTCTGTCACTAAACCACGTCCCTAAGCACGGCAAAGAAGATGGAAGGAGCTGCTGGGCTGGAGGCGTTGGAAAGGGTCCACGTCCACCATTAACACAACACAACCACGCTCCTCCTTCACCCAGGACTAAATCTGACCCCTTCTCGAGTCCCACCAAGCTCTGAGAGCACCAATAACCCCAAACAGCTCTTACCATCCTCCCCTGGGAGGCTGCAGAGCCCCCCACTCCACCCATGGACCCTGAGGCCTATTTAAGCTCAGCCCTGTGCCCTTAGTCCCTGTGCCGTGCTGTCCTGTGAGCACCAGCCCTCGGCTCAGCCATGGTCATGGTTTCACTTGCTATGGGCCTCCAAATCCAGAGCATGGCCTGGTTGCTTGGTTTAGGCCTCATCCCCATGACTTTGGACTCCTGGTTGAACCTGGTCACCATCACCAGGTGTCACCATCACCGAGTGTCACCGTCATCACCGGGTGTCACCATCACTGGGTCAACCCTCAGGTACCGTGAGGCTGGGTCCTGGCTGCTACCAGGTTCCTGCTGTTGTGTTTGGTGCCCCATCCTTTAGGGAGCAGCCAGTTCTTGCTATGCCTTGATAGATTTTTAGATCCATGAGCCCTCAAGACCCTAAAACACCTCCTCTCCCCTCCAAGCACCCCATGAAGCCTACACTGGCTCTGACTTAGCACCTCAAGATAGGCAGAGGCACCAGCACCAACCTTGGGTGACAACCACCCACCCCAAGCGACTCACTGAGGGTGCAGCTTGTAGAGCGTCCCGTCCACGCCGACCGTGACCTTCAGGAAGTCCAGCCCGCGGTTCTCGCGGATCTTGTCCACCACGGCCGCCATGCCGGCCCCGCAGAGCTGCGCCGCGCGCCGCGCCACCACGGTGCACACCTCCTTCACGATGATGCTGTCGTCGCACGTGCTCTCCAGCCCCAGGTGCTGCAGGATGGAGCGGACCTGCAGCAGGGCCAGGCAGTCGCTGGGGAGGACACGAGGGCCAGGCAGCGTTAGGAGATGGGAGCAGCGTCGTCGTGTGGCTTCCCCTTCCTTATCTACACCCCGTGGGGCCCGGGGACGCGTGGCTTGGGTGGCACTGACTGGAGGGGCTCTGCTGCTCCTCTAACCCCAGTTTTTGGGCTGGGATGTGGCTCTGGTGTCACATCCCCATCAATGTGGCTGTTTGAGGACAAAGCCATTGACTCGGAGCATGGCAGATCTTTACCCCGTGTCCCTCTGTGCAGGACAGAGGCGTCTGCATTGCCAACCCCAGATGCTTTCCTTGGCTCTCCCCCTCCTGTTGGACCTCACCTCTCGATCTGGGACAGGAACTTGGTCTCGAAGATCCCCCTGGTCTTCAGCCTCTCCGAGATGCGTCCCCGGAAGAGCAGCCCTCGCTTGGTGAAATCCATCAGGATGTTCCGGACGATCTCCCCCAGGTACATCCCGCTGATCATCTTCTCAAACCTGGGAGGGGAGGGCAAGGTTGGACACGGGGACAAGGAGAGACCCCGGGTCTGGACTGGGACACAGCCCCTGGACACCCTGGGGCACGTTCACCCTGCGGGCAGGGGACAAGGGACACATCACCCCCGATGTCCCACCAAGGGGCTGGAGGGGCAGCACTGATCCAGCCCCAGAAAGCCACCACACACCTCTGCTTGCCGGGGTTGAGAGACAGCTCGTCCACCGCCAAGTCGAACTCGGTGCGGATGTCATCCAGGCACCCGCTGTCCCCAAACGCCCCCCACTCCATGTTGACGCACATCCTGCCCTCCTCCCCGTCCACCAGCTCCACGTTCCTCATCTCCTCCATGTAGCAGGCGTTGCTGCCCGTGCCTGTGCAGAGGGAAGCGGCGTTCAATGGGGGTGCGTACGTGAGATGAAAGCCCACCCCGTGGGATGGGTTTGGGACCACGGGCGGAGGGAGGAACCCCATAGGGAAGTTTCGGTCCTCACCGACGATCAGCCCCACTTCGCAATAGGGATCCTCGTATCCGCAGGTCATCATGGTGCCAACCGTGTCGTTCACCACCGCCACCACGTCCAGGTCGAATTCCTGCGGAGGGATGGGGTTGTGTGGGTGATTCCTGGAGGATGCAGCTTGCTATGGATGGGAAAGGACCTTTCTGCTGAGCATGGGGGTCCTCCAGGTACCCATGGACCTCCTGCACCCCATGTGTCCACTGAGACACCTCCAGCAAGACCCAACTGCAAGGGAACTGGGACAGCCCTGCCAAAAGGGGCCCCCAGGGCAGGGGCTTTGGGGGTCTGCGTTGAGGGAACGGGCATGGCATCATCTTCCTTTCTCACAGCATCTTCCTCGCCCACGGCCAGACATGACTGCCCCAGCCCTGGCCAGGAGCCAGCTCCTTCGCTCCAGGGTCTGAAAACCCAAGCTCCAGTGATGACTCAGGGTGGTTGTTAAACCCAGACACTCATTAGCCCTGAGCTCAGCCCATTAATTTGCTTTACAGGCCAATTAAAAAGGCAGCCGGGACGAGGGAGCGAGCAGGCGCGTGGACGCTCACCTCTCTCCTGTGGATCGCCTCCTTCAGCAGGTTCACCACGTCTTCCCCCTCGCAGCCGGTGGCCTTGAACCCTTTTGTCCACTTCAGGAGGATCCCCTGTGGTGGGAACACCTCGAGGTGAATCACCCAGGCAGGGGGGGGACAGCAACCCCACATCCACCAGGTGAAGGACACCTCAGCTGGGTCAGCTCCAGAGGGACCTGCATCTGCTTTGGTGCAGCTCTGAGCTCCTGCCTCCCTCCTCTGGTGGTCATCGATGCGGGTTCAGTGCCCCTGTGCTGGGCACTGCTGAGGCCACTCCTGGCATCCTGGGGTCAGTTTTGGGCCCCTGACTCCCAGAAGGACATTTTGGGGCTGCAGCGTGGGCAGAGAAGGGCAAGGGAGCTGGGGAGGGGTCTGGAGCAGCCGAGTGCTGGGGAGCGGCTGAGGGAGCTGGGGGGTTCAAGTGGAGAAGAGGAGGTGAGGGGAGACCTGATCCCCTCTGCAGCTCCTGCCAGGAGGGGGTAGCGAGGGGGGCGGTCTCTGCTCCCCAGGGATGAGGGGAAACGGCCTCAAGTTGTGCCAGGGGAGGGTGAGGATTTTGGGAGGAATTTCTGCCCTAAAGGGTTCTCAGGGCCTGGCAGGGGCTGCCCAGGGTGGAGTCCCCATCCCTGGAGGGGTTCAAGAAGCGCCTGGATGTGGCACTTGGGGCCATGGTTTAGTGGCCATGGTGGGGTTGGGTTGACATTGGACTGGGTGATCTTGGAGGTCTCTTCCAATCTCAGTGATTCTGTGACTCTCTTGCACATGGGGTTTCCAGTGGCTTTGGCTTTTCAGCTGGCCCCGGGTATCGAACACGTACGACCGGGTGGGCTGGGGTTACCTCGTCCAGGTTGTTCTGCTGGCAAGGGAAGGAGAAGGTGAATCCGAGCGGCAGTGAAACGCCCTTCATGCCCATGTACTCCAGGAAGTCGGAGATGCAGTGAACGATGTGGTCAAAGAGCTGCGTGAGAGCCAAGGGAGGAGTTACCACCACAGCGAGGAGCTGCCCTGCCCAACCTATGGGACTTGTCCATTCCCAACCCAACGGGACTTTGAGGAGACCAGGGTGATGCTCAGCTGTGCCATGTGCTGAGAATCCCCAAAACACCCCCTCCATCCTCTTTCCCACCAATGATGCGGTCCCATCATTGTGGTACCTCCACTGTGCAGGTCCTGTACTGCACCCAGCAGGGGTGGGGGACCAGTGGGGTAACCAAGGGGGGTGATTGGCTTCCCAGGGTGACACGGGGACCTGTTTCTTGTGTGAGGCATCCCCAGAGCCCGGCTGCTGGGAATGCTCCCAGTCCCTGAGCGCTGCTCGGAGTGGTTTGCAAAGCTCTCCCCGTCTGCAAACAAGGCTCTGGAGACATCTCCTGCTGCTTGTGTTGTGGTTTCTCCATCTGGGCACCAGGGATGATGCTTATCTGCCTTTGTGTGGTGTTCAGGGAGGGGCTGAGGGCTGGGAATAACCCACTTTCTAACCTAAAAACCAGTTTCAAGCTCCTCAAAACACGTTTCAAACTCCAGAGCAAGGCAAAGCCGCCTCCCATGGCTGCCGCCACCCCTGCTGCCCCCCCCGCGAGGGCAC